ATGCTATACAGATTCTCTTGAACTGAAGATGGTCGACATTATTACAAAGGGGGAGAATGTAAGGGTCGAAGACCTGTTGTAATATGTCGATGACATAAGTTTATTTTACAAGGCATATATGTAACGAAGCTTAGATGTTCAGTCCTTGTAATTTTTTGTATGCTTTCATGTTTCCTAAAAATAGGAACATTACTTTGAGTTAGATAACGGTCTGTACGAACTTGTCTAGTTTTCTCTCTGTAATCATTGAAAGCATAATAGAGCTGAATCAAGATCATATTTACATAGCGTGTTCAATTTCATATATTTTTTACTTTGATTTGTTATATTCTCGGTTCATCACATCTACACTAAGTTCACAAGCACCCTATAGGATCTATGTTCTCACTATGATTTGCAAACAACTATTGAATATCACGAACCCTAAAAGTAGGTTGCTGTTTTCGAAATTACTAAAGGGTTATTAGAAAATACATACGTTAGTTTATTATTGTAAATACACTAGTAATTCTTCCTTGTTGGTCTTCATAAAGCAAGCACCAGAAGTCTCGTGCCTCTAATGGCTCACACCCAAACCCTAGCAAATTGGAGGCTGAAGAGGAGTGTAACAACGTAAATTTTCAAACCAATTTTTTTTCAATTTAAAAACACATTTATCTCTATAATAAAATCACAAAATGTCACAATGTCGAATCATCAAATCTCATATCCAAAAACTGTATATATCAAACTCCAGGATCCTCTCAATCATAACTCAAACTCTGATGTGTGTACAATCAAATCGGCGCCTTCTCGTGATCCTGAGAAGTACCTTAAACACATAACACGGTAAGCAAGAAGCTTAGTGAGTTCCCCAAAATACCACACACATCTCATTAGCCACTCTAGGCTATGACCGAATAAGACCCTCCGGTCAATGTGTCTCAGTGGGACCCTCCGGCCCCAACTCAATAAGCTCATAATAACAATACTCAGCATAAATCACAAAGACATAATGCAGAATATTAAGATACACAGGTAAGAGCAATAATCATCTCAGTCACACAAGATACCACTCATGGTAAGTATAGTGAGAAGACTCACCTCGTAAGCTAGCAAGTAAAAGTATCGTACTCGGAAGTCTCGAACTAGCCTCCGCCTAACACATAGGATAATTATCTTTAATTAATAATCTACTCATACTCAAGTACACTAAAGGTTGTTCTCTCTCTCTCTCTCTCTCTCTAACTCTTGGAGTGGGTAAAAGACCATTTTACCCCTCCATGGTCTCCATTACTCATGCTGACCAAACCCTAAAGTCAACAGAAGTCAAACTCGAGTCAACAGTCCAGGTTTGACCTAACTCACCGAGTGCACTCATGTGACTCGTCGAGTACACTCGTTCCTCAGAAGTTTCGTGAAGGTCCAGCTCGTCGAGTTAACCCCTAACTCGCCGAGCTATAGCATGGCCAACTCATCGGGACAAACCTGAACTGACTCGTAGAGTCGGCTCATCGACTCGGCGAGTCCATTCAGACCCATGACGCATTCAGACAATTCCAAGGCAGCAAATCCTCTCACACTCTAGATCTAAGCTCTCAAGGCTCGTTTATCATGTAAAGCCACGAGCTTTACGTTCATGCATGGCACTAAGGGCTTGAAATGCCAAGAACATGCTCTATAAAGGGTTTTTCACTCAAAGGCTCTATTATGGTTGAATAAAGCAGGGACCTTTGGACTCTAGGGACCTCACAAGGTCCAGATCTGATGTCCAAGTCTCTATATGTGCTTATCACACTCAAAGTCCCAATATTATATAGAAATGAAGCCCTAAACTCCAATAATATGAGATCTACCCAAACTAATGAGAAAGGTATATACTTTATACCTTTTACAAAAGCTCTTGGATGAATAACAACAGATATAGCAGTGTCCTCTCGTTCATTGCTTGAAATCCTTCTCTTCTCTTCCAAAGATGCACCAAGATACCCAATATTAGCTCACACTCTCTCTATTAGCTCAAAGGGCGATTAGGGTTTCTCTCAGAGAGGGTAAACAACTGGTGACCCGCAAATGAGGCTATAAGTGCCCTTAAATAGGCCCCAAACCCGGGGATTTAGGGTTTCACTTCACAGCGTCTACTCGGCGAGTCGACTCTCTGACTCGTCGAGTAGATCATTAATCCCACGTGGCACAACGCGACTCTGCTCGACGAGTTGTAGCACCAAATCGTCGAGTTATTCAATAGTCCTCAAAAATAGATAAATAAACAACATACCTGGAAGTCCGGATGTTACAAGGAGAGGGGGGGGGGGGAGATTTTCGATTTTCTCTTTTAGAAAAGGGATGGATGAAAATCATAACCCTTAAAGGGTTTATATAGGTGACTAAGAGATGCTATGATAAGGCAGTTTCCTTTGATAAGCCTTATCTCATTTTTACGTCAGACACATGGGAATCTTAACCCCAATTTTATTGCCACCATAATACACCATTGACTCTTGGGAGACCCAAACCCACTCTATTTTTAATCATAGAACCTCCGATGAAGACATCCACATCCTTGTTGCTTGGGATTCCAAGGACATATCTAAAGCCAGTTGGGAAAATTATGATAAAATTCGTCAGCGTTTCATGGACTTCTAAGCCAACAACCACTACTTTGATGGGTTTTATATGTTACAAAAAAAACTATTTTGGCGGAAAAACGTAAATCCTAAGTTTACATGCACCCTAAAGGATCTATATTCTCAATATGATTTGCAAACAACTATTGAATATCAAGAACCCTAAAATTAGGTTGCTATTTTCAAAATTACTAAAGGGTTATTAGAAAATAAATACCTTAGTTTATTATTGTAAATAAATTAGTAATCCTTCTTTATTGGTCTTCAGAAAGCAAACACCAGAAGTCTCGTGTCTTTAATGGCTCACACCTAAACCCTAGCAAATTGGTGGCTAAAAAGGAGAGAGGAGGAGGAAGGAGATTTTTGGTTTTTTTCTCTTAGAAAAGGGATGGCCGAAAATCATAACCCTTAAAGGGTTTATATAGGTGACTAAGGGATGCTAGGATAATGCATTTTCCTTGGATAAGCCTTATCCCTTTTGCTTTCCCTCTAAGGCATCCAAGTTTTCTTAGAGCACAAGAAAAGCTCTAGAAACCATTTAGAACTCCTCTAGAACCGTCCCCCTTATGGGAGGTTATGTCATTGCTCAATGCTCAACTTTTAAACATTGACTCCTTTAGTCCTTCCACTTTTAGTTAATCAAATTAATCCCAAAATTAATTTCATTTAATTTCTGATTAATTTTTAATTAAACAATACTATTTCTAATTAGTATATTATTATCATAATATATTAATAAATTATTTATTTTGATTTCTAATTAATTTGTTAATCATGTAATAAATAAATAAATCTCTCTCTCTCTCTCTCTCTCTCTCTCTCTCTCCAAATAACATTCCAGTCCATTACTAGGTTTTAGGTAACCCAAAAGGAATTTGCTAATAATTCAAGATTATACTAATTTTAATTATTGTCTTAGGCACCTAATCCAACATACTTGACTAAGCTCAAGGACGAGTTTGTTGCTAAGGGTGGGGCAATTGATACAAGCCCAATTAGTAAATCCAACTTTCCACAAGTAAGCAGCCTAGCAGATGACAGAGTAAGGACCAAACAAATAACTTGAAAGCCTGCCAGGTTTCGTGATTGACAATAATAGCACATGGGGAAGAATTAGTCATACAGTTAGAAATATTAATTCCTAGTTTTTAGCTTTACATGCATAGAGTAAGTTGCATGTTTCCCTTCCACAAGGTCCATAACCAATTTAGTTTAGTCATGCATGCATATTTAATTGATTGTAATGTGTCTTTTTATGATTATAAAGGAAGAAAAACGGAAAATTTCCCCAACTCTTTATCTAATTTCTTGGGTGATTTGCCATCTTGAATCGACACTTATCATCCCCTCTTTCGTATTATAGTTTTTTGTGACAATGTTAGTGTCATGTATTTAGCTTCTAACTCAGTTCAACATCAAAGAACCCAACGTGCAGAAATCAACTTACATTTTGTTAGGTAACATGTTTCGATTGTACATGTGTAGGTTTTGCATTATCCATCTCACCAATTTGTAGACATTTTTACAAAGGATCTACATATACAGTTATTTTTGGGCATTAAAAACAATTTGAATATTCGTAAACCTCATGCTCAAACTAAAAGGAATTGTTAAAGTATAGTTCATTATATATTGCTCCCTATCTTTACACTCGTATATAGTTCAAGGTCCCTTTTATAACTTGTTATATTATTTATATTAAGAACTATGCAATGAAAACCCTACACGGATTTCCATATTTCAACAAAAAAACGACTAGTCCCTAAAGACAAGGACTTTATTCCAAGATCGACCCTTTATTTCATAATACTATATCGTCACAAAATGGCCTCTCAAATATAATTTAACTACTTTAAATAATATGGACAAAAATTAAACGATACAATTTTCAATTAAACCTGGATACCGTGAATAATACGCGCAAGAGTTTTCTATATTACCCCCATAAGGAAAAGGAAAAGAAAAGGAAGCCTCCTTGACTCTCTAGTCTTGGAAGGTCCCATGTCTACAATTGTCATCTTATATGGAATACTTTTTAAATTCCAAGTCAACTTTTTACCTTCATACCAAATGTCTTTCTTTATATTTTATGAAACTCTAATGATTAAGTAGACATTTAAATTAATGAAATTTGTTAGCTATTTATAATAACAATAAAAGTAGACAAACAACAAAAAGAGAGAAAGATATGGACATAAACAAGCCGTGTCAAGCCGAGCTTGACACTAATCAAGCCATACTCGTTTAAAGTTATAGAGGCTTGAGCTGGAGCTCACTAAGAGTCTAGTGGCTTGAGCTCGATCGCAGCTCGTGAAGCATAATATGAAGCTCAGGATCGGCTCGTTAATTCACGTTTATCTTTGAAGCTCGTTAAAGATCGGCATCTGCTCCTTATTAAAAAGTAATTGTTGCATTTGTTTGGGTTTGTAGCACTAGTGTATGTCGACTCGATGATTCCAACCTCATTCTTTCTCTCATCTTTGTTATGAATTCCGCACATTTCTTGTTCAATTCCTTTGTTTCTGCTGCTTCTTTCGACTCCTCTGTTTCTTGTTCATCAATGGAAGCAATAAGATTCTCAGCCTTTTGATATTCAATTTGATCATGCATGATTGAAAGAGAATTATGATCTCCAAACACAAAAACCTCATTCTCAATTTGTTCGATTTCATTATCTTCGTTTTTTATTTGTTGTTGTTGTTGTTCTTCTTCTTCTTTTATAACAGCAGCTATTGGTTCCATGGCTGATGGGACTAGCAGAGGTGGGTGGTTGATTTCACTTGTGACGACTGATTGAATGTCTTTTGGTGAAGAAACGTGGTTAGGATCGAAGTTCATGATGAGAAAAACAAGGATTCCGTTGCAGAGGAGGAAGATGTAATGTCTATCGAAAGAGGAGAAATGGTGAGTGTAAGAACAAAGAGACACAAAAGATGAAAAGATGAATATGAAGATGAAGATGGAAAAGATGTTGTTGAGTTTGATAAAATGGGTTTTTGGTGTCCCTTTCTTAAAGTATTCCGACATATTCTCCGTTGTTGAAGAAAAGAAGGAGATGATAAGATGAATGCGAATAGGCGATGCTGATGATGGTTACTGATGGAATCGTGGAATGATGCTTATATATAAGTTCAAGATTTGAGTGAATTTACAAAACTGGCCTCAGGGGACATTTTCTTGGAAACAAATTATTGCTACATGCTACGTGTAAGAATCTAATAATAAAGTATGATTAAAATTTTAGTTATAAATATTAAACAGTTAGGTAGAATTTTATATTTATTCTTAATATTCATTTTTGTCACGACGAAACTTCGCAAACATTTCTAAGCCTAATTCTTTCTACCATAAAAAAGAAAAAGGAAAAAAAAGAATTGTAACACAAAAAAAGAAAAAAAAAAATCATAAGTATCACAAAAAAAAAGAAAAAAGAATTGTAACAGTCGAAAGATTTTATTAAGGGCGTTACCTAGGAACCATCCCGGAGAACTAATACAAGAAAAGAAATGACAACAAAATTGTTACTCCTTGAGTAACGAAACAACAACCTATATATGAAAAAAAAAAAAAAAAAAAGAAGATATGCAACAAAAAAACGAACAAGTAACTAAATAAGAAAAAATCAAATAACACGTTATTTTATTATATTATGATTTACATAATTACATTTGTTTAGTAGAAAACCATAGATATACATTTTTTTCAAACATGTCTAACTTTATATTTCCATAATGCATGTTATTTTATATTTCCAAAACTGCATGTTACATTTAAAAACAATGTTCCAAAGCTTTGAATCGTTTGATTGTTTCAATCAATTTTAAGTAAACATAAGCTGTTATTCAATGAAGTAAACTATTTATCTACCATATACTAAGTCAAAAGTCTAGTTGGAGTCAATTTAATGATATTAAAAATACAAAATATTGGATACACGGTGGGCACAGAGCGACAGTGGGCCAGCGAGACTCGGTTCGAGTAGACGAGTACCGTGGAGCCCAATTATTTTTGTTCACATTACATTACGTGATTATATATATATATATATATATATATATATATATATATATATATATATATAATATATATATATATATATCTATATATATATACTATTTTATAAAAGAAATCTCATTATTTCTAAAAATAGATTGAATATAATAATAATATTTTTTTAAAACGTTCAAGTTTCTAAGCTTAAAGTACAACCAATCATCAATAAAATAATATTATTTTATAACTTATTCTTTTATCCACGTTTGAACCCTTATATTCTCCCAAAATCTGATCTTATTGACTCCTTCCCATTGGTATCCGGGTGCATTTAAAATTTGAACTTGTAGATCCAATAGGCTTCCACAAATATCCTTAAATGTCGGATGTTTGATTCAATTTTCAAAATTTGAAGTCTATGTCCTTTGTTGCTCTCCCCTGGTATAAAGCCCACCCGCCAGATCATTCACTATCATGTCGGTGTTCTTCTCCCACCGCTCTCGATCCAGGAAACCTAGATCGACCTTCAGTAAGTGTGTGAAACATCAAGATCATCATCAGAACAAAAGAGGATTAGGTTTCCCCAAGAGTGTCATCAAACCACTACGCATGCCATCCTCCCATTAGGTTAATGACGGTATGATTTATTTTGTTGTTCATCTTTCTTTTGTATGATTTCTAACCCTATGCCTCTCTCTAAACCTTATCTCTACTAAAAAAAACCCTACCCTAAGCAACTACCGTCTACTGGAAACAATGACCTGATCTCCACCTCTACACATTCATGTTACCAGACACTTACCAGAATATCAGGCCAGTCTTCACGTTATCAGAACTAGGTTTACAATCTCTCCCACTAATTCATCCTCTCCCTCTCCTCTCTCTACAAACCCTAAGTCGCCACCCCCACCATCACTATCGATTACCACATCTGTCACCACCATCACCGGTTACCGTAGCCGCCCAGCCCGCTACCACTGTCAAATATGCTTCACAGTTCGTTCTTCTTCGATCTCTGGTATGCGATTTACCACCATCAAACACTTTTCTTGTAAATTGATTAGATTTTTGGGACTTTTGTTTGATATTGAACATTTGAACCCTAAAAATCTTATGTGTATGTATAAATATTTTCTTCTGTATGTATTAAATTTTGTGAAAACATCTTGATTTTGGTAAATCTGGTGCAGATTATAGAACCATCTGAACTTGGAACGAATTTTTTAAAAGTTAGATCCTTTGAGATATACTGCCTTCTCCATGGTACCCTCCCTTCTCTACCTGAAAAATTAACCCTAAAATATCCCTATCTTATTTTATTACAGTATTATTTTTTATCTCAACAGCTAATGTAGGGTTTTGGTTATGGTTGTAATGTTGCATGTTAAAGTGACATAAAGCCTTGGAACAACCACTAATGTGGTTTTGATTAATTACATGGCTCAGGAAGGAGATTAGGTTATAATATGTGGCTTTCAGGAAAGCGCAAACAGTTTATTCCTACATTCATGTTACTATTTGTTTATATTTTATATGATTTAAATGTTGCTTGTATCATGATTTTATTGTTAATAGATACAAAGTCATCTATTTGGTGTAGGTATAGGTGAACCGACATCACTTTTGGACCTGCAATTCCAGATAAGGACTAAACGCTTTTATTTTATAATTTTTCTATATATAATTGAATCATTTATCATCTATTTGGTGTAGGTATAGTGATGACATTGTTTTTCCCCTTTTAATGTTTGTAGATAATGCTCTCGCAATTATAATGTGATTGTAAGTCATTCCAACTCTCAGCGAGTGATATTATTTCTAAATTAGTCGATAATGATGATAGTAAATTTGATATCTCAATGCTATGCATCAAGGATACTTTTTTATTTACTCAATAATGATATTATTTCTGGTTTTGCAGATATGTTGGTTGATCCATATTGAAAATTCATGGTTACTGTTGCAATACGAACATTTGACAACATACTTGAGGTGATTTTGTTGTTTAGGATGATCTTAATGGTATTTAGATCAGGAAAATGAAAAACTGCTAATTGAAGATTAAGACAAATGACTTTTTTATAGATTGAAAATGTGAATTCAGCACCAATGAAGACTAAATAGGCGAAGCCTTAATCCGTGCAAAAACAAAAAAAAACTTTAGATACGTGATGATGATTGTCATGCATAACAGTTTCAACATTTTGGAGGATTAGTGAAACTTTAGTGCATAATATTTTATGTTTGAAGGTTCAGTGGACGAGATATTTCCTTCATTGTTGTGACATCCCCATTTTCACGGCCAGAAAAGACCGATTTTTTGTTTATGCTTGTTTGAAATTCAGAGTAACATTTTAAATAAAAGAGTTGCGGAATTTGTCCCAATACAAAAATATGATAAAGATTTATCAAAAGCATTTCCATAGAAATGTATTTCGTTAAAAGACTCGGGATGTCATGTTCGATACAGATCATAAGCATAAACAGTACAACATAAGCCTTACTACATTATTTCGTATTTACAGGCCTATAATCCCTTATCTCTCATCCAAACATCTATGCTCATGCGCCACTTCCTGTAATACAAGAAACTGAGTGGGTCAGGCTTGGAAGCCTGGTGAGCACATAGGGGTTTCAACCCACAATAAATAAGTTTATTATTTTCGTCAACCAAACAAACCCGATTACCCCTTCCCGTTATCCTCACTTTACGTCCCTAAAACGTGTAACACAAGGGACCTAGTCTAAGGACTTTCATCGGAGTGACAACACATGCTTCGGGGGTTCCTCAGCAATTCATGTTAAATAAGGCAACCATGTGGGGGATGGAGTACTGCTGGTGAGCACACAGTTCAAATAAACACCTACAGGTTGCGAGCCTGCTAGCGTTCCACTTGACTGTCTAGAATAGTCTGTGGTCGTCATCTATACTCCGCTAGATGACTGGATCATCAATAACATCTATAACGAGGCCTCTCATTATTTTATTTTGTCACACAGCAACTATTACATCTACCCATGTTTTACCCAACACATTTTGTAGATATAAAATACATATACAGTTTAAATCATTTAAAACATGTATAAAATCGTTCATCCAGCATAGATAGCAAGTATACAGATAATATGCACGCGTAGCACGTAATTTATATAAAATACTTCATATCTATGTGTAAGATGAAAGTGACTATGCACTCACTTGATTAGGTGGTGACTCGGTACTCGAACAACACTTCGTTATCTGAAAACAATTTTTCCTTGACCAAAACCTATTATCAATACCACTAAGGTTTAGTTTTAACGTTAACCGCGACTAATTAATAGTCTAGCTATTATTACTATTATATAAGCGTTAAATAACACTCTATATAACTCATAATAATAGCCCAAATAATTATTTTAAGGTCCTAGTAATGTTACTATAATTAAATAAAAGCTATATTAAAAATAGCGTAGGCGTAGCTCACTTACAGCGGGTTTTATAGAAAACCGGGCTTCGCTTGGAGCAGCGTTTCCAAGCCGAAGGCTCTTCTTTTCGGAGCCGCCGGGCGCTCCAGGCTTCCGCCTCGTGCTAGGGAGGTTCCCTAGGCTTTTTGGGGGGTTTGGGGGGTTAGAGAGAGAAACTAGTGAGAGAAAGAAAGAATGGGAAAAGTGTGCAGAAAATGAGGGTGAGAGAGGTTCTATTTATAGGGTGAAATATGGCTGAACTTGGTGCCACATGTCACCATCTGGTGGCAAGACTTGGGGAGAAAGCAATGGCCAAGATTGTGCCACGTCACCCATTTTCGCACATCACACTTCCGCTTCTAAAATCCGTAACTTTCACATATGAGCTCCGTTTTTGACGTTCTTTATATCCACGCGTAGGTAAAAATAAGACCTACAACTTTCATTTTGACTTCGTTGGCTAATTCTCGACCGATCTTAAATTTAACAGTACGAGGTGATTATACTGTTAAATATCCACGTAAAATTCATAACTTCTACATACGGACTCCGTTTTCGTCTGTCTTTTTACCGTTGAGTTCCTATTA